AGCAGCCGACATTAACATCTGTTGTAATTGATTCTCTTGCTGCCTGCTGATGGGTTTTCCCTCTCCCTGTAGCTGGCGGAGGCTCTGGAGCTGTTTGAGGTGCAGATGCTGAAGGAGGAGCGTGTGTGGCCTGAAGAAAGCAATTACACTGTTCTGATCGGCGGCTGCGGCAGGGTTGGCTACGTGAAGAAGGCCTTCAGGCTCTACAACGACGTGGGTTTACGTTCTCTCTCAAACCCTCATTCCCTTTTCCAACCTAAATCCTTTCAGAGCATTCCGTCACGTTACCTCTGCCTCCGACGCACCTCTGCGTTGGTGGCTGGCCCTCCTTAGCCTGGTAGTTTTAAAACCAAGCGAAGAAATTGGAGAAATCCTTTCCTAAACCCAGGTTCTAATTCTTCCTCTCTTCCTTCAGATGAAGAAGCGAGGCTTGGCTCCCAGTGAGGCCACCTACACGGCCCTGTTCAACGCCTGCGCGGAGTCGCCCTGGAAGGACTCGGGCCTGCAGAGCGCGCTCCAGCTGCGGCAGCAGCTGAGGGGCAAGAACCAGGAGCTGAACCTCGTCACCTACCACGCCCTGCTGAAGGTCTGCGCCCTGTGCTCCGACCTCAGGATGTGCTTCGACGTGCTGAAGGTAAAGATGGGGCTTTTCTGCTCCGGTTAGAGCTCCTGGGAGGGGCTGTGTTGCTCAGGGTTTCAGTTCCGGCAGCGGCGATGACAGAGCACTTGGTTATATTTTATTGCTCTTCAGTGTCATGCCATGGAAGTGTCTTGGTACACACCAAACACTAAGCTTAAGCACCTGCAGAGGTTGGCTTTAAAAATCTGGTCAGATGTGTCAAAGACTCATTGAACAAAGCTGGGGGGAGGTGTGTGTGGATTCACAGCTGCTGTGTCTGTCTGAGGTCATGTTCAAGACTCACATATTGATACCCAGCTCCTTTTAGAGCTCTTCCAGCAGCTCTTCCCAGAAGGGCCAGTCTGGGAACAGCTAAAAGGATTGCTCTTCCTGCACCCAGACCCCCTGTAGGTCCTACCAAGGCTGAAGCAGGATCTGTGCAGGCCTTTCAGGACTCTCTGTCTTCTGGAGCAATTGTCCTGCTCGCAGCACTGGGAGTTCACCCTGTGCTTTGTTGCTGCTGCATCCCCAGGGGATGACAGCGGTACTGGAGCTTCCTGGCCAGCTGGGACAGAGTTTAACCCTCTCTCCGCTCTCTTAGGAAATCGTTCACAAGGGCCACGTTCCCACAGCTGAGACCTTCAGCTTCCTTCTCATGAGCTGCGTAAAGGACACTGAGAACGGATTCCGGTACGCCTTACAGGTTGGTGTGAGTGGGGAGCAGGAAGTGCTGCTCTGCTGAACTCCTCCTGTGAAGGTGCAGGAGGCAGCAGAGGTTGCTCAGAGTTGATGGAACAGTTGTTGTTCAGCTCCTCCTAGGAGCAGTTGTCACCCGGAGCCCTCAGGATGCCTTGTCCTGTGGGTGATCTTAGTGTTGTAGCTAGCAGGTGTGTGGTGTCCAGCAGCACCTCACCTCAGCATGCTCTGAACTCTCCTCTGCAAGCAGATGCAGCTGGAAACACTCCTGGTACTTAAAACCACCCACCTCTGGTGTTTGTCTTCTCCTCCCCAGGTCTGGAAGCAGATGACTAAGCTTGGGATAAAGGCTGACAGCCACGCTTACAACCTGATGCTGCGTGCTGCCAGGGACTGTGGCATAGGGGATCCTGCCCTGGCGTCCCAGCTCCTGCTCAGCACCCCCCAGGAGAACTCAGCTCCACTGAGGCTCACAGCCGGGGGGCGCAGGAAGGAGGTGAAAAGTCAGAGGAAGAAGGGCTCACAGAGTGCAGCTGCTCTCCGGCTGGATGTGGAAGCCATGGAAAAGGAATTATTTCAGGAGAGCTCAGCACGGCTTGAAGAACCCATCAGGCAACAGACTGAAGCTGTGACTGGGGCTGGCCCAGACCCAGCTGCTCTGCATGGGCTCAGCGTGGCTCCCAGCAGCACTGGGGCATTGATGAGGGCAGCCCAGGGGGAGGTGGAGCAGGAAGCAGCACGCCTGAGCCAGAAGCTGCCTTTCTGCAACCTGCCCAACTTGCTGGATTCCAGGATGCCCAACGCAGCCGTGGTGTCCCTGGGGACAGTGGCCACGCCAGCCCATCGACTGGCTTTGATGGGGGACGTGGAGGGCTTCCTGAGTAAAATGAAAGAGGACAATGCAGAGCCCAACATTAAAACATTCACCTTGCTGGCTGAGCTGGTGGAACCCCAAAGCCCTTCAGAGTCCTCTTTGCTGGCACTCCTAGATGAGCACAGAGTCAAAGTAGATGTGACCTTCTTTAACACTTTAATAAGGAAGAAAAGTAAACAGGGAGACCTGGAAGGAGCAAAGGTGAGAAAAACTCATCCCCAACCTCGTCACCACCTTGTTGTCAGCTGTGTTTCACTGTGAGACCTGTGTCTGTATCCACGAGAGAAACTGGGGGTCTCACTCTTTTCCAGAAACCCTGGGTTAATTTCTAAGTCTTTATGGATTCTGTTCTAGCAGGTTCAGCTAGTGTCACAGAGACTTTTTGGAGGCTGATGCCAACACTTGTATCTTGCAGGGGGTGCTGCCAGCTCTGGTGAAGAGGGGACTATCACCCAACCTCCAGACCTTTTGTAACTTGGCCATTGCTTGCCACCAAGAGAAGGATGGACTGCAGTTACTCTCAGATCTGAAGGTAATAAAAAAAAACCCCACTGCTGCTTGGACTTCTGGCTGCAGGAAGAGCCACAGGGAAGCATTAATGCTTCTGAAAACACCAGCTGAGGTTTCTGTGGTGAGAGGTTGTGTTCTCACTCCAGAAACCTGTGAGTGTGGAGCAGCTGCCAGCTCAGGCAGTCTGTGCCATACCTGTGCTGGGACAGGAGAGGGCTCACAGGAAGGGCTGTGCTGGCACTGCAGGACCTGCTCCATGTCCTGGAGGGACAGCCTCGCTCCTCATCACAGAGCCACAGGATGGTTTGGGTTGGAAAGAACCTTAAAAATCACCTAGTTCCATCCCCCTGCTATGGGCAAGGACAGCTCCTGTCAGGCAAGTTGCTCAAAGCTCCATCCAGCCTGGCCTTGAACACTTCCAGGAATGTGGCATCCACAACCTCTCTGGGCAACCCTGTGCCAGTGTCTCACCACTCTCACAGTGCAGAATTTCTTCCCAATATACAATGTAAATCTCTCTTCCAGGTTGAAACCATCACCCCTCATCCTGTCACTACACTCCCTGATAAAAAGTCTGTCCCCAGCTTTCTGACTGGCCCCTTGAAGTTCTGCAAAGCCACCAGAAGGTCTCCCTGGAGCCTTCTCCTCTGTGGCTGCCCCAGCCCAACTCTCTCCTGCTGGGCTCCCAGCAGAGGGGTTCCCCCCTCGGGGCATTGCTGGGGCCCCTCTGGCCCCTTTCTCTGCTGTGCTGAGGACTCCAGAGCTGCCCCAGCACTGCAGGGGGGTCTCACAGAGCTGGCAGAGGGGCAGGATCCCCTCCCTGCCCTGCTGGGGATGCAGCCCAGGCTGGCATTGGCTTTCTTGTGCCAGCAGTGCCTCTGTGGCTTCTCCTCCCAGGAGTCCTGTGCCGCAGTCAGCAGATAAACAAGTTTAACTGCTGTGTTTGTTGTTGGCAGAGGTCTGGAGTGACTCCCAACAAATACATCTACAGCACCCTCATTGCTGGTGCTGTGAGGCAGCTGGATTACAGCTACCTCACCCAGATCCTGCGGGACATGAGGAGGAACCAGGTGGCTCCCAACGAAGTTATCATCCGCCAGCTGGAGTTTGCAGCACAGTACCCCCCCAAATTCGACCGGGTGAGTAGCAGGACCCGTCGTGGTGTGCAGGCACCTTGGGAGGGCACCAGAAGGGAGGGGAGATGCAGATGTCTGCCCAGGGATCTTTCCTGGGGGTGTGTCTGATCTGGCTGACAGTTCTCAGTGGCTTTTCTGCAGTAGCAGCTTGTAGCTGTCACACAGTGGCCCTGAAGCGAGCTCTCTCCTAACAGAAACTTGGTTTGTTGATTTCTCTCTGCAGTACAAGTCAAAGAACAGATACCTGGAGAAAATCGATGGTTTCCGTGCCTACTACTCTCGCTGGCTAAAGGTCATGGCAGGAGAGGAGACCCCTCACCCCTGGGCGAAGTACCGAACCAAACGGGCAGCAGAGGACACCAGGGAGGCAGCTGGGCAGGGGGAGCAGGCCACCACGGAGAGGCAGCTGGGGAGGTGTAGCAGGGCACCAAGGAGGCAGCTGGACAGGGGTAGCAGGGAGCAGGACACCCAGTCCTGCATCCCCCTTGTGCTGCAAGAACCTCAACTCCTTCCCCTCAACCATCTTGTCACAAAGCTGCTCTGTATTTGCACAAACCCAAGTTCCTGCAGTACCCAATAAAATACTTGTCCTTTGTGTTTGTGGAGAAGCAAATACACTTACAGAGAATCTCCTTAAACTGCAGAGGATTAGACAGGCTGTAGTTTAACAAACCCTGGACTAACGTGAGGGCAGCAAAATCAGGTTGAAGAGTGGTTTAGCTCAGTGCTGGTTTTGTCTCTTTCCTGTGTCCTGGGTGTATTGAGGTGCTTAATGTGTGTCCTGTCAGTGTCTAG